GAGAACCACTGTCCTAAAGTGTGATGTTTCAGGTCTCTCTGAAGACCTCCCATAAAAATGACGATCTTTTTTTTTTTCCTGAATGCCTAGTGGATACTTTTTTTAGCTTTGAATTCCAGCATCTTTACTAAGATCTACCTCAGCACTGATTATTCTGTGTTCATTTACTGAGACAAGTTGTACCCTTTTAATCTGTATACTCAGGCCTTCTTTTTCTAGTTTTCTTTTTTAAGTTATAGATCTTAAAACATTTTTTTCAGTTTTAAATGCACCTAAAGGTACATTTTTAGAGATATGACCCTGATTATTTTTTATTATTACTCACCTTGACATACATTTTTATAGGCCCTAATATTTGTCACTGTATCATGTAGAGGAGGAGTGAGGTGGTATTATGGGATAGAAATGAAGCTCTCTAGTAAGTGGGTATGTGTGTGTATCAGTGTTTCTTCAATCCAAAGGTTCACAACATTGCATGCACATCAGAATCACTTAGAAAACTTTTTAAAGTCATCTCTGTCTGGGATCCCTCTAAAATTTTTATTTATTGGGCCTGGGAATAGTGGTCCTAAGGTATAGCTCATCCTAAGGTATAGCCAGATTTGCAAACCTTAAGCTGGGTCTTTCCTTTGTCCTAGTCAACACAGATCAGCAGCATTAGGCCCCTCACAATGGAGTGTCCCCTATTTCGCTACAAACTGCTTGCAGAAACAAGGGTCTCTACTTTGTGACGCCCCATGGAGATCCAGAAAGCTCCCACAGTCAGCTAGACAGTGATTTCCCCTGACTCCCATAGCGGGCTGTTCCGCTCCGCTGGGATCATTTGTTATTTTAGAATGTCAGCATTCTGCTGGCACTCTGAGATCCTCAGTAGCCAGAATCCTTCCAGGGAATTTTCTGTTAGTCATCTAGCCCTCTGATTGGTTTATGGTTACGGTTTTTTTTTTCAGAGTCCTTAAATATATAAGTTGGATTTCTGTTTCTCAGTCTCCTTGATGTTTGGGTGATTTCAGAGATGCAAAGGTGTCTTTACTCTGCAATCTTATAATAGGGGCTCTTTATAACTTTTTTCTGCTTAATGACTCTGGCTTTTAATATATTTTAAAAATTGAGTTTTCAACATCAGTATTAAATTTCAATGAGACATAAAGCTACTTATAAATGAAATTATATAATTGAGTTGAAAGTCAATGTATTACATGATAATTTGATTTATAAGAAAAAGAAATGTGCTCCTTTTTAATTAATCACGATTATTTACACATAAAGTATCTGGACCAAATTTATGTGCACAATTAGGCACCTAATTATGGTTTAAAATAAACTGCATGCAGAAAGAGATGATCACATGTATCTAATAAAATAATTTCTTTTCTTCATTTTGGGGAAAACACTATATTTTTTCCCATAAGAGCTTTGAAAATCTCCTAAAATACTACAGTCTGTGTATCTACGTAGACACAGAATAACAGGAAGTAGATTTCAGTTTCAATCTAAACTTTAGAGACTATTTTAAAAATTTTTGATGATAGTACAAAGTCAACATTTCATTATCTAGCCATTAGTCATACAATGATATTGAATTCAATCATCATTTGAGAAAAAGAAGCAAACAAATCAAATTAAGCTTGCATAGAAAGGGAAGTTATGAGGAATAGACAAAAAAAACACACACAGACAAATCCAGAGAAAAGAACAACAAGAAAGCAACTTAATTCTCTAGTATGGCTTCATATGGTTACCAGCCAATTAAAAAAGCGCATATACTTTGTTCATTCCCTTAGTAAATATTTGTAGAGGGCTTCCTATGAGCCAGGCATTGCCCTAGACCCTGGAGACATGAAGATGAAACGGCGTGCTTCCTGTTTTCAAGGAGCTTAAATCTTTGAAAGAGAAATGTGCAAATAAACAGAACGAACAGCAAGAGTATTGCCTGGCAATCCCCTCCTAGAATTGGGCTGCTCAAGCCAATGTACTTTATAAGGAGACTTTCTCTCTTAAAGAGAGATTGTAGCCTGCATTAGTTGAAGCCAGTATAAGTTACAGTGAAGAAAGATGAACCAACTGAAATATAATGCAGCATTTTGAGTGTGGGCTGCATTTAAAATGGTCAGGGTGTGATGTGACTTTAAAGGATTAGGTGATTCTTGTGCCAAGGCAGCCTAAAGCCTGAATGCTAGCCACTCTCCATACAAGAGATGGGTATATTCAGTTAGCCCAGTGGTTCTCAACCTTCCTAATGCTGCGACCCTTTAATACAGTTCCTCATGTTGTGGTGACCCCCAACCATAAAATTATTTTCGTTGCTACTTCATAACTGTAATTTTGCTACTGCTGTGAATCGTAATGTAAATATCTGATATGCAGGATGTATTTTCATTGTTACGAATTGAACATAATTAAAGCATAGTGATTAATCACAAAAACAATATGTAATTATATATTCAATATCTGTTTTCTGATGGTCTTAAGTGACCCCTGTGAAATGTCGTTCGACCCCCAAAGGGGTCGCGACCCACAGGTTGAGAACCGCTGAGTTAAGGGGCTGCAGGCTCTGACAAGTGATGCATTTGAGTCATGTCCCAGCTGTTAGGACTCCTGAAGCTTGTTCCACACAGTTTGCCAAATCAATACATCTCATGTCCCATGCCACACCTGTGATTGCCTGCTCATCCCTGACCGGCATTAATATCATCCATCAGAGGCCTCTGCACTTTTGAGACAGGAGGTGTAAGATTAGTTCTAAAGCCAATAAGTTTAAGAGCATAAAGCAAATTGAAATGCTTCTGGTTTCTAACTTTTTGTGAAATAGGAAGCTGTATCATTGGCCAAAAGAGTTGTCTAACTACAATGCTGGAAATCCACTATGAGGACATATTAAAATATGAGAATGAAAATTCAGGGTTGTTATTTACAAACTTCACTTTAAAAAAAACACACCAACTATTTGTGTTTTCCAGCCCAAGTTCAGTATTAGATTCTGTCCAAAAGCTTTATTTAGTCTTGTGGTTTAATTCATATATCAGAAAAGTACTCCTTAATCAATGCAAGACCTTCATGTACTCTTTCTCACATTCCAATACTCATCCCAGAGTTCACTAAGCCATCCTCACCATTCAGGAGTTGCTCTGCCTGAAGGGTTGTAATGGGATTTACCAGCCACTTTGTTTGATGTGTGAAGGTCAATTGGCTGGGTTTGTAGTAGTTGCTATCCAGAGTTGACAGGGGCTGATCTCTCTTCCCTGACTATGAATAAAATCCCCCATCGTCCAGCAGGCCCAATGAGATGTGAAACCACATCAAAAGTCAGGAAATTCATTCGGCTTCCAAAAGAGCACAGCCACCACCATCCTGTTATACATTGAAAGGTTGTTTTTTTTTCTTTTAGGCCCCGGGTAAAAGTGTCTAGAATTCCCATAAATGTACCTGGGCCTTGAAACTTAAAAAAAAAGTTTTTATTTATTATTTTATGTTATTGTTTTATTTCATTACTAGAGGCCCGGTGCACAAAATTCGTGTACAGG